GTTACTCAGCGCGTCAGTGGAAGTAACGCTTCCATAAATGTGGAGTTGGCATTTCTAAAGAATTTAGTTAATCCAGACACAGTCGCTGTCACTCCAGGTCTTAACTTGACGGGAGGAAGAAAAAAAAAAGGGAGAGAAAATGAAAGCGGTGATTCGACAGCTTTAACAGGGAGGGAATAATTCACTTTAATTCAGCAAAGGGAATTCCGATGATTCTTAAATCTGTAGCCATTATTTTTTCTTCTCCCACTTCAGCTGTGTCTTCAGCACACAATTCCTCAGATGTTTTTGTTTTTTTTTTAAACCAACGGGCCGGTTCTCAGGCTTCTCAGGCAGCCGTTCACCAACGACGCGTCGAGGAGTCAAACTTTACACCTCCCAGAGAAACCTGCCGGCCTCAGAAGACCACAGCTTCCACTCGTGTGACCGTGCACGACAGGATGTGAAGCACAAGAGAAAAGTTAGCCAACAAATGGCTCCAGTCCATTAGCCCCCCCCCCCTCACTCCTCCCTCCCTACCTGAGCCTCCCCAGTACAATTACACCCCAGACGGAGGAGGCGAGGAGCGGCAGGAGAATGTTGTAGCTGCAGGGCCTGCAAATTTTACAAGAGTGTGTGTTACAAATACTCCGTCAACTGCCAACTGCTCTACTTCACGTGTTACGACACACCGAGCGCCGCGCTCGCCAATTGTTCCACATACTTCACGGTTTACATTTACGACGGTGTAAACGTTTGGATCTTCGTTGTTTAAGGATTAAGACGTTCGACACGTTCACCGCAGCGTTCTGGTTCTGGAGGTTAAATATCCCGACGGTTCTGTTGGGTTTTCACTGGAACTGTTTACCGGTGACCCCGTGGAAGCTCAGAATATCACTGGTCCAGTCAAAGACCCCGGGCCTTCAGTTGGTCACCGTCGATGAATGGTTGAAGACGTGCTGTACCCGGTGACCCCTGTGGCCCCCCCGTCCTCCTTTGCTGGTACTCATTACAGATTTAAAGCCATTGTAATGTTCTAATAATACATGGTGGGGTGGGTGTCAAAATGTATATTTATATTTTGCTTCATTTCTTTTAAATATATTTGTCAGCGTTTTTTTTGCATTTGTGTGAGGGGGTCATTTACTGTGTGTGGTGGACGTCCTGCTCAGTGGACAAGGAGGGGGGGGGTCAGAGGACAGGACCTCTCTCAGAGGAGTGGCTGTTAACCTTTGACCTCGTTGGTTAAGCCTACAGGGTGGTGGCAGT